AAGCCAGAAGAGGGTTTCACATCTTCTGGAATAGTAAGCTATCAGATGTGGGTGTTGGAACTTGAACCCTGATCTTCTAAAAGAACAGCAAATGCTCTTAGCTGTTGAGCCATCTCTCCAGCCTCAAAGCTTTAAAGTTTAAAATTCCTTAAAAATATTGAGTGAAAGCCGGGCGGTGGTGGATCATGCCTTTAATCCCAGCACTTGGGAGGCAGAGGCAGGCGATTTCTGAGTTCAAGGCCAGCCTGGTCTACAAAGTGAGTTCCAGGACAGCCAGGGCTATACAGAGAAACCCTGTCTTGAAAAACAAACAAACAAACAAAAAATATTGAGTGAAAAGAAATTTTTAGTGATAAAATTCTTATAGTTTCTTTAAAAAATATTTTTTATTTTATTTTGTGTAATGGATGCTTAGCTTGCATATCTTATCCTGGGAATTGAACTCAAGTCCTCTAGAAAAACTATCAGTATTCTTAACTTCTGAGCCATCTCTCTCTCTGGTTTGCTCCCCACCTTACAGTCCCTTAAGCTAACTTAACCAAGATTTAAACAAAAATACTAGTGAAGAGTTTTTTTACCTGCTTGTTTTTTGGGAGGGTGGGTGCCAGAGTCTCTTTACCTAGTCCTGACTGTACTGGAACTATGTAGAACAGGCTGGACTCAAACTCAAAGATCAAAGATAGCCATCTGTGTCTGCCTCCTGAGTGCTGGAATTAAAGGTGTGGTCAACATGCTAAGCTTTTTTTTAATGCAAATAAAACAGCTATCGCCTGGGCGGTGGTGGCTCATGCCTTTAATCCCAGCACTTGGGAGGCAGAGGCAGGTGGATTTCTGAGTTCGAGGACAGCCTGGTCTACAGAGTGAGTTCTAGGACAGCCCGGGCTATAAAGAGAAACCCTGTCTCGAAAAACCAAAACCAAAACCAAACAAAACCAAAACAAAAAAACAAAAAAACAGCTATAGATTGTACTTTTTACTAGTTTATAATAATTATATATTATTACATTTAAGGTAGATTAACACATTTCACCCAAATACTAGTAAAATATGAATCTAGATTTAATTTTTTTAAAGTTTTAATTTTAAAAGCTATGTGTGGTAGCACAAACCTATAATTCCAGGACTTAAGAGTATGAAATAGAATATCCAATTTAAGGTCAGTTTAGACTACACAAGTCTGAGACCAATATCTGTCATAATCTGTTTTATTAAATTCTGACTTCTATGGCAAGAGCTTTATCTAGAGGTAGCATAGCAGCCTGCTTTGCGTAAGTGAAAGGGCTGGAGTCTGACACAGAAGGTATGTGACTCTGGTGCATCAGAACATTTCTTGAGTTTGTTTTTCCACCTATAAAACCCTGAATATTGCCAGATGTGATGGAGAATGGTTTTAATTATAGCACTTCGGAAGGATGGGAAGGCTGAGCTCTGAGTCCAAGGCCAGCCTAGTCTACCTAGTTGAGCTCTAGCCAGCCTGGGCCACAAAGTGAGACTGTTTCAATAAAACAACAGCAAAACCACTAAACAGCCCCAGGGGTCAACCACAACTACTATTTTGCTAAATGGGCATAGTGTGGAATTGCCTTCTCAAGTCTTAGCTCTATATCTCTTGATTAGTACAGCTCTCAGAACTTGTCAGAGAAGTTTCTTTGTACAGTGGATGGTAGTTAACATAAAAATTCTGGATTGATCAAAGTATAAAGACTAATGTCAATGCAGTGTTCAGCCACAAATGGGGCATTCAAATCACATGTGCCCCAAAACTAAGGGACCATTGTGGAAGGTAAAAAGAAAGATCTTAAGAGCCAGAGATTGGGGAGAACTGGAGTGAAACTGTCTTTCAGACACAAGAGGACCATCAAATCCATGAACTCACAAGATCAAGCCAGCTGACATTCTAGCATGGAGTGGAAAGGTATTTCTGAGAAACTTCTGACAGGTGATGGCTTCTAGGAGAGGTAGAGTCAGATTTCCTAATGGATGAGGCAAACATGTCCCAGTGGATGGCCCTGTACTCCTGAGTAGACCGGCAACACAAATTAGACAGTGGTAGTTTATTTAGAAGAGTAGTGGGCCTGGGAAGAGTTAGGGGGAACGGTGACATGATGATGAATATGATCAAAATGCAATGTGTGAAATCATATTAAAAATTGATAATACCCATCTTGCTATGCTCAAAGTCAATCTAGTACTGACAATGTAATAAAAGAAGCAAATACCAGCTGTTTTCAGCTAGAGGAACTAGGTGGCTAAGAACAGGAGGACTTTTACTATATCTCCTTTACTCCTTATTGGGTTTATGCAAGTATTATTTACTCCCAGCATAAATATGTTATTCATTCATAAGTCATTCAGAGAAAGATTAAAAACATGTTACCTTTTTCAATACCTGGTTCTCCTTAGCTATTGTTATCTTCTTTTCCAGCCTCATCTTCCATAGTAAAAATGATTCTTTTTTTTTTTTTTAGGTTTTCGAGATAGGGTTTCTCTGTGTAGCCCTGGCTGTCCTGGAACTCACTCTGTAGACCAGGCTGGCCTTGAACTCAGAAATCCACCTGCCTCTGCCTCTCAAGTGCTGGGATTAAAGGCGTGTGCCACCACCGCCCGGCCAGTAAAAATGATTCTTATACCAAGTATATATTCTAATAAAAAGACATTTTAGGGGCTGGATTGGAAAGATGGTTCAGTAGTTACAAATACTTGCTGTGCTTGCAAAGGACCCAAATTCAGCTCCCAGAATCCATATTTTGCAGAAGGGGTTCAAATCCCCTCTTCTGCCTTCTTCTGGCCTCTGTAGGCACTGCACCCACAAATATACTCCTAACATACACATTTTTATAATTAAAAATAAAAAAAAAATTAAAAGAAAGGGCTGGAGAGATGGCTCAGTGGTTAAGAGCACTGACTATTCTTCCAGAGGTCCTGAGTTCAATTCCCAGCAACCACATGGTGGCTTGTAGCCATCTGTAATGGGATCTGATGCCCTCTTCTGCTGTGTCTGAAGACAGCTACAGTGTACTCATATAAATAAAATATATAATATTTAAAAAAAAACCTCTTCTGAAGACAAACTGTTACAGTCTCTTAGATAACTGTGTAGGATCATGTAACATTGTTTATAATAATAATATTATCTTTGGTAGAATACTAATATATCTATGTTTTCTCAACCTATTGTCCTTGAGACGAACTCTATTTGTGAACTTCAGGGTATTAAAGTGGTCATAGCAGCACAAACTAAACTTCAGTGAAATTGAATCTCTGATCTTGGCATTGTTTTTAGTTCATTCAGATACCCACGCCAATGAGATATGCACTGGCAATAAATAATTCATCTGGGAAATTTTTGTACCCATATGAGAATTACAGGCACACTGATTTATTTTTTAAACGTTGTTATTATATATAACCTGACAATTTTGCAATGCAGTACTTTAGTTATGCAAGTTTACTTTATCATCCTGTACATGTTGCTTAAAATCAATCGCCCTCAACATGCCTATAAACTTGCTAAAGGCAACAATCACAGTTTTGGATGCATTTAGCATTTGAAGGTTTTACAGGCTAACCCCACTTTAAACAAAACCACTAAATACTTAAGGTGCCTAACTAATAACACGAGGCCTTATAGTTTCAGACATCCATGAGCATCTTCTATGCACTTCCATTATTTGGTAGAACCAAGTCTCACCTCTATTTTAGAGGTGAGAAATTCGACAGTCAGGGAAATAAAGACACACTCGCACTCAAGGTCATACAACAGGTTAGAGTTAAAATTAAAAATGAGAACTGTTTAATCATCAGGCTTAAGCTTATCCATACCCATGAAAGCAGCAAAGGAAATATCTTAAACTGTGAATAATGGCTGGTTGCTAGGGGAGAGAGAATGGGCAGGTGTGCTGACACCATTCATAGTTTTAAAATCTAATGGTATTACAGACACTATGTCTAAAGTAGTTACAGCGATAACTCTTGTTCCCGTTTGCAAGTTTCTGAATGTTGAGCTCAGAAAAGCATTACTTTGAAATCCCATTATTACATAGTCAATATGTAAATGACTATCAGCTCAACCTGAACCTCACACTGCATTTAATAATTTTTATTGTCCAGTTACCTGGGCAAAAGAATTATAAATTGGTCCATCTAAAAACTGAATAGTTTCAAAATAAAACGAAGTTATTCAGAAGCCATCATCTCAGGAAACTTTAGTCTTGTGGAAAATGAACAATAGCATATTTTTTAAAGAATCTCAGGTTCTACTTGAGCCAACTACTCTTCCTTTTTATTCATATACAAATCTGAGTATCTATTTCAGGTATCTAACCCTAGTTCTTAGAAATGCCTTACAAAATGCCAAGAATACCATGGTTTGAGTAACAACTAAGCTTGCAACTTTTTAGAAGAAATCTAGATTGAAGAACAGAGGTAGATTTCTACCTCTGTAGATTTCTCCAGTGATTAAAAATAAGTCTGACTGAAACTGTACAGTGGGCACCACAAAATTTTCGTGAAATTCCCTACTTATTCCCTAATTATTCCCGAAAATCATAATTTTCAACAGAGGCCAATTTACTAATATGGGGAAAGTGAAGAAACAAGAAAAGCATAAACTTAACGGGCCAAGACCTGACTTAGCACAGGATATTATGGACTGCAATGATGATCAGAAACCTTTAATGATATAAATTAGAACTCTTCTTGTAGATCTAAAAGCAGTTTGGTAAACTTTGGGTTGGAACTAAATAGGAAATCCGAGTTAACTCTCTTAAGCATTATTTATTTAGATTCACAATAAAGAAACAATCCATCCTTTATTACTACAGAAATGACAAAGTGAGGGCACGAAGGGTGTGAAGAATAAAGGCTTGACAAGGTCTGTCTCTAACCCTGTCCTGAGGAGCTCGATCGGTTCAAGGAGCCGAAAACGGTTACTTGGGAGGAGATCCTGAAAGGGTAGGCGTAAAACCCCAGCCCTCACCGCCACCCTTCCCCCATCTCACCTCTCCGAGCGCAGCTCAACCGGAGCTGACCGAGCAACTGCCGCCATCACCATCGCCATCACCCGGCGCTCGCTCAAGCGCGGAAGGGAGGCCCGGCCACTCCCGCTCCTCGTGTGGCTCCCGCAAGGCGGAGGCCTCTCTGTCAGCCTCCGCCCCTGCTCCACGGTCAGCCCAGTGTCAGACTTGCCGCTGTCTCCGCCTGCTCTCCAGAGACCGCCGCCACTTCCGGGTTCAGCTCCCACCTTTTCTTTCAGAACAGGCCCAGCCACCAGCTCTTGGCTTCGAGGCGGCGCGCCTCTGACGCCACCACCCGGCGACCTCGGTCCGGACCTGCGCTGGGCGGTGGCGGACCGCGCATGCGCACAGGGCGAGCGCGCCAGAGCGCGGGAAGCCGCCCTGTGAGGACCGCCCTCTCCTCTGACCAGACGCTGGTGCAGCCGGCTGCTTCTTCGCGCTGTTAGAGCCTTCAGTGGAGAAGCTTGTCACCATCCCGGCGTGTGTGACATACCCTCCGCCGCATCGTGCTATCGCTCTTCGGGTGAGGGAAACCGAACTGCACGGCGCGCAGAGGACGATCTCCCTCCTGAAAATATTAGTTCTTACAAAACGGCTCAGGTAGGGAAAGATGCCGGCCACACAGAAGCCCATGCGGTACGGACATACGGAGGGACACACCGAAGTCTGCTTTGATGATTCTGGAAGGTAAGCGTCTTTGGAAACAAAGGACCATTCAGGCGTGAATGTTAGCCTTCATTCTCGGCACGTACAGTCAGTCAGTCAGTTGGTCGAAGATGACTGATGCGGAGGGACAGAGGAAGGACTAAACAAGGAACGCCTCTGTCCTGAGGCTTGTTTGTTTTGAACTGTCGTGATACTTCTAGGATCTCAGGAAAGTTAAAATCCTTTACCCAGAGGAGTGCCTTCCCGCCACTCACGTTTTCATTCGGTGTCATGTTCATTTTATGATCCAGTTAAACATCAGCAGTTGCTGTAATTTGCAATGACTAACTTGCCCAGAAGATGGAATTTTGCAGCTTCCTCTTTCACAGTGTTCCCTGAGTATTAGAGAACATAATGAAAATGTCTAGTGTAGGGCTCAATACTGAGAAGTCACTTGTTGTCAGCACCTTGTGCAGTCATGACGTTTGCCATCATTTACTGGAAATAGAGGCTTCTCTAATAAAGGCTGAGGGTAGCATTTGTAATGTACATAAATATTTAGAAGGCAGTTTGAGGTTATGCAATTTAGCTTAGTAGTAGTACTAAGTACCCCCCCCCCCAACCCCAGGGCCCTTGACCTCCCCAGCTATGGACTTTTGAAAGGGTTTTGGGGAACCAAGAATGGGTTCCCCTCTGTGGAATAGACCTTAAATCCAAATAGCACTTGGTTACCCCCATAACAGCCATGCCACACATGCCCACCCAAGTGGACATATCTTGCCTAGAAGCTGGCGTCCTAGTCAGGTCTCATAAAGCACAGATTGGTCTCAAACTTGATAGGTATCTGAGGCCACCTCTGTCCCCCAAGCACTGAGATTATAGTCAGTGCTGCTATACCTGGCTAAACACTTTCCTATGACCCTCTTCTGGTTTTTTCCATTTGGGAGTTAATCCTTTTTTTTCTTCTAAACATTTTTCATTCATACTCTTTCCTTCCTTCCCTTCTTTTTTCCTTCCTTTTTTTTACTTTTAATTTTTTGCCTTTTGCCCTATGCTGGTTTTACTTGCAGTTTTATGTGTGTCCAGGTAGGACATAAACAGAATGAACAAAAGAGAAGTTTGAAAAAACAAGCAATAACATCCACATAGCTATTTTAATAATTATTTTTGGGTACTCGAGCTCATGTTTTCGGACACTTGTTATAGTTTCTGGGTGTCGCGAGCTGGCCCTGGATATGATGGTGACTGAGCAGACATAGGCCTGGACATTGCAGAAACTGTGTACTCACCTTTCTCTTACATTCTTATCAAGAAATAATTTTGTGCCAAGGAAGAACTGTAGAGAACAGTAAACATCTTCATTTTATAGAATGAGAAGACTCAGTTATTGGGGTTGGGGAATTAGCTCAGCAGTAGAGCACTTACCTAGCAAGCGCAAGGCCTTGGGTTCAGTCCTCAGGTCTGAAGAAAAAAAAAAAGACAAAAAAGAGTCAGTTATTGATGTTTTTTTGAAAACATAATTCACTAATGTCTTGATTTTTGTTTCAAAATATATAAAAGTAGCAGTTCCTAAAGAGTTCCTGAAAACTGGATGACATTTTGATATGTGTATGTCCTGCACAGTTATATTGTGACCTGTGGAAGTGATGGTGATGTGAGGATGTGGGAAGATTTGGACGACGATGATCCTAAGTCCGTTAATGTTGGAGAAAAGGCATTTTCGTGTGCTTTGAAGGTACTTGTTTCAGTTGATGTGAAGAAGTGATGGCATGTGACTTTTATGCTTGGGTGGAAAAATTACATAAAAATATAAATTTCTCCTTGCTGCATTTTCCTAGGTCTATATCTTTGGGGGAGCACTTAGTTTTTCATTTTTAAAAAAAGTTTATTTTTTATTTTATTTTTAATTTCATGTGTGTTTGCAGTTGCACATCAAATCCAGAAGAGGGCATCAGATCCCTTGGGGCTAGAGTTGCAGGCAGTTAGTTGTGAGCCACCTTGTGTGCCGGGAACCCAACTCAGGTCCTCTGGAAGAGCAGTAAGTACTCTTACTTGCTGAGCCTGAAAGGGAAACTATTTCTTAGAAGTTCTGAATATATCTGATACATCTTTCTCCCTGCCCTCTGGTTTTGGTGTTGTTATTGTTTGTTTCTTGAGACAGGATCTTTTATAGCCTAGGCTGGTCTCAGACTGACTGTGTAGCCAAGGGTGACCTTGAACTCATGGTTCTTGCTTCTACTTCTTAAGTGATAGGATTATAGGCATGCACCACCATACTGGGTTTATATGATCCAGGGGATTTCAAACCCAGGGCTTTCATGCCAGGACAGCACTCTTAACAACTGAAACCCAGCCAGTATCTACTCATTGCAACCCAGCCAGTATCGATGTTTATAATAAAAGTTGGAAGCCCTTGAGGAGATTCTCAGAGAATTTGTTTTATAATTTTGGTAGAGCCACAAATTAAATATGCAACTACTAAAATAGGATAGCTTTTGTATATCTACATCAGACATTCATAATGAAAAAAATGAAAAAGAAATATTTGTATACTGTGATATCTATTAAAAGTTTTAAAAATACAAATGTATTTTCATGGGTTTAGGAGAAAGTTAAGATAATATGATCTTCGAATGTTAGAGATTACTTCATAAGAGTAGAAAACTCCCTCTTTGCTCAGGGCACTTTTATATTGTCTTTTCTCTCCTCTAATAATAATTATGCATTGCCTTTGTAATGGAAGTCTATAAGGAAGGAAAAGTAAATGAGGTCTTATACATTAGTTTGTAACAAATTGCCACAAACTCAGCTGCCTGAAATAGTACAACACCATTGGTTCACAATCCCGGAGGCAAAAAGTCTGAGATTTAAGGTGGCAACAAAGTTGACTCTCACTGGTCTCTGAGGGATAAATCTGTCTCTTGTTTGCCTTCTGGCTGTCACAGTCCAGTCAATTTTGTCTCCATATCACTCCATCACAGCAGTGAATTCTGCTGTTGGTCTTTACCCTATCCCTCAAGACATAATTGTATTGTAGAAGCAGGGCTGTGCTGGTTGGTTCTTGTCTTTTGATGTCTTCTGCACCAGAACTGGTTTTTTTCTTTGATAGCCTCTAGTCTCCTCATGTTTATGATACATGACATCCTTGAAAATATAACTATTTTTCTTACCAGAAGTAAAAGAAAAATTATAGGCTAAAGATTGGCTTGTGGAGGTAGAATTAAGTTTTCTAAAACAAGGAAATTTTTCTTGCTAGTGTTTAGGAAAATTGTATACTGAAAAGTTCTCTCCACATAAACTACATTTATAAGGCTTTGTGGTTTTTACAGGATTTTTCAATATAGAGATACTATTAACTGATTTGGATTTGTTGTGCCAATATGTCTAACCTTTATTTTTTCTTTAAGAATGGAAAATTGGTCACTGCAGTTTCTAACAATACTGTCCAAGTCTATACATTCCCTGAAGGAGTTCCTGATGGCATATTAACACGCTTCACGACAAATGCAAACCATGTGGTCTTCAATGGGGATGGCAGTAAAATTGCTGCTGGGTCAAGGTAAGCTCAGCTCCACATAGTGTTAGAAGAGTGACAGTTTTAGAACTTAGAACAGTGTCCATCTTTATTGTGTGTGTGTGTATGTGCACATATATATATATTTCTTTTGTGCTGAAAAAGGTCAGAGAAAGGTGATAACTTGTTACAAATTGTAAAAATTATTGTAGGTAGAACCAAAATCAGGATTTCTGCAGAATCAATCTCTCTCTCTATTTTCCTCTCTCTCTCACATTTGTTTTATTTTGTTTTTTTTTTTGAGATAGGGTTTCTATGTGTAGCCTCCTGAGTGCTGGATTTAAAGATGTGCACCACCGTCCCCAGCTCCTGCAGAAGCTCTTAATTCTCCTTTTAGAAAAAAAATGAACTCGTTGAATGCTGAGGTGGGGTGTGATGGATAGAACGTTCTAAATGGTTGTGACTGTTAGATTAGCAATAGAAGCTCAGAAGTATCCAGAGAGCCATGTAGGCAGTGTTAGAAGAGGCTTTTGTATTGGCATTTATTCGTGTGATTCCTCTTACCTGTTTACAGTGACTTTCTGGTCAAAGTTGTGGATGTGATGGATAACAGCCAGCAGCAAACATTTCGAGGACATGATGCCCCTGTTTTAAGTCTGTCTTTTGATCCTAAGGATATCTTTCTGGTAATTCTTTCATTCTTTTTTTTGTGTGTTGAATGTGTTTAAAGCTATGGGAGAATTGGAAGAAAAATTTGCCCTATTGGTAAAAGACTTTTTAACACAGTTGAACCAATTTCTATGTGGTATTATAGTTATAATAATCATATACAATTATACACACATAATAAATATAACTATAGAGAAATAATTTGTTTATTTCTGCAGGCATCGGCTAGTTGTGATGGAACTGTTAGAGTATGGAATATATCTGATCAGGTAAATAAATAAATTTAAATTTAAAACATTTTGTCCAGAGCCGGGCGGTGGTGGCGCACGCCTTTAATCCCAGCACTCGGGAGGCAGAGGCAGGCGGATTTCTGAGTTCGAGGCCAGCCTGGTCTACAGAGTGAGTTCCAGGACAGCCCGGGCTATACAGAGAAACCCTGTCTCGAAAAACCAAAAAAAAAAAAAAACATTTTGTCCATTTCTAGGATTCTTGAGCATTACATATATTTGATCCAAATTAGTTATTTATCTTTTTAATCTGTTTCTTGGAGTAACATTAAGCATTACTTTAATTATTCCAAAATAGTCTGACATAAGCATAAAATTATTGAACAGTAATTGTTTTTATACCAACTCAACAGGAGGAACTATAAATAGTATTTAACTTTTAAGCTTGATAAATTAAAGGGGGCAATTTAGCCACTATATTTAGAATGTAATTACCCTGTTTTGGGCTTGTGTTAGATGTTGCTAATAGAGAAATAAATAAGACTGAGACCATATTTGATTTGCAGAGTCACATAGAACTTAAGCTTCCTTGAACCTAGCTTGGTACAGGTTTTAAAAAACAAAATGGAAAAAAAAATGCTCTCCAGCTGGGCAGAGGGAACAATCGGGTCTCTCTGAGGTGATCAGTGGGTCTGTCATTCATAGAGATGCTGTGCCTTATAAGGAATAGCCTTAGTAGCCACTATGCCTTTCCTCAACTCTTGAATTACTTCTAGCTTGGGTAACTTTGACCCCTTAACATTTTATGGCAGAGCTCCCAAGATTTATTTACTTTTGTTGACATGGGTATTTTAATTTATTGAAGGTCTTTTTGCTTTGTGAAAGTCATGTTTCCTTAATGTGTACAAAAGATACTCTTGTATAAGGTTTACTCTTCTTATATCTGAATGTCTTAAAAACAGTATAGGCTAATTAGGTGTGATAGTTAAAGTGTATGAAGTTGCTTAACTCAAGACCTAACAAGTGGAAGAACCACCTGTTAAATCTCAGTTTTGTGTCTATTTTAAGAGAAATTTTTGATAAAGAGAAATAAATTTTCCTTTTCTAAAATCAGACTTGTGCTGTTAGTTGGCCAGTACTGCAAAAGAGCAATGATGTGGTGCACGCAAAGTCCATCTGCAGGCTCGCATGGCAGCCCCAAGCCGGGAAAGTAAGTGACGCTGGTTTCACCAAAGATTAGTCCTTTAAGTCCTTGTTAATTGCTAGTGTGAGAAGTTTGGTTTTTTATTGTAATTTTATTTGTATTATATATTTTAGAACTCCAAGCCAAATAATTAATCCTGAAATACTTTGAGAAATATTTCAACTTTAGAAACTTTTATCATGTGTATGAATATGATATTTGGGTATATGCATGCATGATGTAGAGAAGACAGTGGATAACTTTTAAAAAGAATGTATAACCGGCGGTGGTGGCGCACGCCTTTAATCCTAGCACTTGGGAGGCAGAGGCAGGCGGATTTCTGAGTTCAAGGCCAGCCTGGTCTACAGAGTGAGTTCCAGGACAGCCAGGGATATACAGAGAAACCCTGTCTCGAGAAAAAAAAAAAGAAAACAAAAAAAAATGTGGGGGGGGGGTAGGTGGGGATTACATCCACGGAGAAGAAGGAGGAGGGGTAAGGGGATGGGGGGTTCCCGGGTGGGTGGGGGTTGGGGTAAGGGGATAACATATGAAATGTAAATAAAATATCCAATTAAAAAAAAAAAAGAATGTATAAAAAGTTGAAATGTGAGCTGGCAAGATGTCTCTATGAGGGTAATAACACTTGCCAAGACAGTATGAATGATCCCTTGGACTTTCATAAAAGCAAAAGGATGGATCTTTTCAAGTTGTATGTTTTACAGAGTGATTTTTATATTTGTCTTTCCATTAATGCTTAATGGAACAACTCTGAAACAGGATTATATGCAATGTTGAAGAGATTTTGAAGTCTTACTCAGAATAAATGACTCAGTGCTACTTCATAGGTATATTCTATAAGTATATTTATACACATGTGCTACAATATATGTATAACAAAAAATATGACATTCCATGAGATTGCAGGTGTTCATGTATAGGGAACTGGTTAATTGAATGTTGGTTGTCCAGAAAGTAAGACTATCTATAATGGTTAGAATGAGGAATGCCTCTTATGTCCTCATGAAATAGACTTTAATATATTAAGTACAAACCATCAAGCTAAATAGTAGGTATAGATAGAATGATAATGCTTATTAATAAAGAAATACTTCTATACATGAATACTTAAACATACACATATACTTATGCATTCTTTGTTGTTGTATTTTGAGAATGAGCTCATTATCAAGCTTGCTATGTAGCTAGAGAAGACCTTAAAATCTTACTTCTGCTTCTAAGTGCTAAGATTACAGGCTCACACACACCCTGCTTGAGTTCGTACTTTTATAGTCTGCTTATATTGGCTCTTATGAGTAGAACTGGTTTTGATTTGGAGAGACTTTCAGAACAGACTCTTCCTTTTGTATCTTGTGAATATTTTCTCTTTGATACTGGACTAGCTATGTAGCCCAGGCTACTTTTGTAGTCAAAATTCTCCTACCTCTTTCTAAATCCTGGGATTATGGGCATGTATAATGGGCATGTTTTATTTTAAGAAATGGCTCATGATCAAGCTGGTTATGTACTTTCATAAGCTAAGTGAGCATTTAAGAGTATAGATTTGCCCAGCAGTGGTAGTGTATGCCTTTAATCCCAGCACTCCAGAGGCAGAGGCAGGCAGATCTCTGAATTCAAGGCCAGCCTGAGTCTACAGAGCAAGGTCCAGGACAGCCAGGGTATTCACTTTGGTAGCATATTTACTAAATTGGAATGATACAGAGAATTTAGCTTGGTCCCTGTGCAAGGATAACATATAAATTCATGAAGCATTCTATATGTTTTTTAAAAAATTCTGTAATGTTATATAATATCTTATGTGCTATTTTAAAATTACTAAGTTTTTAATTAATTTTTATGTGCTTGGATATCTATGGTGCAAACCCAAGTCTGAGCCACAGAAGCCATCAAGGTGAAAGGAAAGAACAAGCTCCTACAAGCTGTCCTCTGACCTCTCTGTATGACTGAAGCATGCTTGCTTTCTCACATATGCATACACAATATTTATATATATAGTAGCTACTATACTATTGCTTTGTTTTTCATTGAAAGTAATAGAGTGATGGTCACTCATTTTTTTTTCTTATCAAAATTTCATCAATTTTTTTTGAGTTTTATAAGTAGCAATTAAAATTCAAATGTGCTGTTATATGTTGTTAATTTAGCTAAATTAATTTTTCTCTGTAAGTTAAATTTATGTAACTTTGTCTTTCCCAATAGTTACTAGCGGTTCCTGTGGAAAAATCTGTTAAGCTGTATAGAAGAGAAACTTGGAGTAATCCGTTTGATCTTTCAGATAGCTCCATCTCCCAGGTAAGTTTTGTAAGTGACACTTAGAGTAGTAACTATAGAGAAGATTTAATGCAAACTTCACTAAAAACTGTCGTCAGATATGAAATGTGTGGGCTAGAGAGATGGCTCAGTGGTTAAGAGTACTGGTTACTCTTCTAGAGAACCCAGGTTTGATTTTCAACACCTATGTGCTAACAGCCATCTGTAACCCCAGTTTCATAAGATCTGCTGTTCTCTTTTGGCTTCCACAGCAATACATGCAGGTGGTATGCATGCAGGCCAAACACCAATCCACATAAAAATAAGTAAATAAAAGAAATACATTTATAGAAAGTAAAATTACTCTAGTGCCAAGCAGTGGAAGCACATGCTTTTAACCCCAGTACTCAGGCAGAGGCAGATTGATCTCTGAGTTGGAGCCAGCCTAGTCTACAGAGTTCTAGGATAGCCAAGGCTACACAGAAAAACCCTGTCTTGAAAAGCCGAAAAAAAAGAAAAAATTACCCTTAGCTTGATATTAGAGTGAATTATTCTTGAATGTTATTGTTTCAGTAAGACTTGTGATCTAGTCTTCAGAGCTTTAATAGAAAAAAAGATTAATTTTTATTTTCTTTTTTAACGATTTAGTTTGTTTGTTTATTTGTTTTTCAGACAGGGTCTCACCACATAGCGCTAACTGGTCTGGAGCTCCCTAGGTAGACCAGGCTGGCCTTGAACTCAAAAGATCCACCTGCCTTAGCCTCACTGGGATTCGTGTGGCACTATGCCTGGCTAGATTTATTCTTTAAATGTATAAGGGGTGTATGTGGGGTGTGTGTGTGTGTGTGTGTGTAATTGAACTACGTATGTGCCTGGTGCTTCGGGCTAGAAGAGGGCTCTGGATCCCCTGGAACTGGAGTTCTGGATGGTTTTGAACTGCCATGTGGGTGCTGAGAACTGAATCCAGGTCCTTAGCAAAAGCTGCCAGTGTTCCTAACCCCTAAGACACATCTCCAGCACCTTGTTATTTTTCTTATTCTGTCTCTAGCTCTCATTTACCCATCATGTATGTTTTTTCAGTTAAAGGCTCGGAGTATGAACAATGACGTGCTAAGGTTCATCTCACTTATTGTCTTCATTTGATGGTGAATGTTAGGAGGATTCCTTGTAGTTGTTTTCATTCTTTATTTGTTTTTCTTTACAGGATGATAACATTGTTTTATATTTCATTTTTTAAATTAGGCAGTTATTTTTTCTTGGCTAACAAAATGATATATGCTAATAGCTGAATTTTATTGAATAAGGTTAAAAATAAATATACTTTATTGTATTTTACATATCAAATGTAACTAGAATAACTCAGAGTAGAGATTTAAACTATTTGGGGTATTAAAGTGAGTAGTTTCAAAATGTCCAACATTATTATTAACTGTTTCTTTGTAGACACTCAATATAGTAACCTGGTCTCCCTGTGGGCAGTATTTGGCTGCAGGTGCTATTAATGGCTTAATTGTAGTTTGGAATGTGGAAACCAAAGACTGCATGGAAAGGTACAATTTATTGTTATTGTTTAATTAAGAAACATTTGTATGTTCTGACTGTTATGCAAAATGAAAATAGTTTCTAGATATGAAAGCCATTAACTTTTAAAATAGTTACTTGTTTACTGTTTGTATATATGTGTACACTGTAGAGGCATACATGCCCTAATGTACTGTAGAAATCACAGGACATCACATGAAGTCTTTCTTCCCATTGTGAGGGTTCTAGAGATCAACCTCAGGCTTGGTGACAAGCGTCCTTACACATTGAACCATCTCTCTCATACATTGTAATCTTTTCAAGTTGAAATTTCCCTAGAGAGTAAGGAAATATACAGTTTTTATTTATTTATAGATGGTGCTAAGGACTGAATACATGAATATTTGCTACTGAGTCACATTCTCTAGTCCATATCTTTAAAAGCATCCACTTTTTAATTTTTAGGGTAAAACACGAGAAAGGTTATGCAGTTTGCGGCCTGGCCTGGCATCCCACTTGTAGTCGGATATGTTATACTGATGTGGAAGGAAACCTTGGAATCCTGGAAAATGTTTGTGACCTCAGTGGAAAGGTGTCAAGCAGTAAGGTAATGGCAGTGTATGTCTTTAGTGTCTCTTCATGGTCATTACATGTTATCAAAGAAATTGGGGTTCCCTTTTGTGAGTTCTTAGTCTTAATAAAAGAATTTAAAATGGACTTAGAAGGAAGATTAAGAACTATTTTATTCGAGTTTAAAGGGAAAACAATAAAAGGCAAGCTGAAATTCCCTCTAATTGCTGAGAGGAAAAAAAGACTTGTGTCTTTAAATTAGGCGTGGGGGTCAGCAAGCAGCTGTAAAAAGGTGTGGGGTAACGGGAAGGGGCGCTTCCAGAGAACTGAGAAAGCCAGAGTGTTAGAGAAAGTTCACCTGGTCATTTAGCGAGTATCCGAAAAGGAGGTGAAGAGTTATATTTTATTTTAGTTTATTTTAGTTTACTTTAGTTTATTTTAGTTTTGTTGTTGTTTTTCCGAGACAAGGTTTCTCTGTGTAGCCTTGGCTGTCCTGGAACTCACTCTGTAGACCAGGCTGGCCTCGAACTCAGAAATCCGCCTGCCTCTGCCCCCCAAATGCTGGGATTAAAGGTGTGCGACACCACTGCCCAGCTTACATTTTATTTTTAATCAAAAAAGCAGATAGATTTACCAGGGCTGCATGGCAATAGCAACATAAGTAGCTGCTTGTATACAGTGTTCGTTTACATGTCTATCCCCCTAATCTTGACCTGTCCCCAGAGTACAAGGCATTTAAAACACATGTATTTGCTAATCATTCTTAAGTCATAGGTATGTGCTTACTTGGCAGAGTTTATACATGTCTTTAGGGATCTGGATGGGTCGGTGGCTGACTGTAATCCCAGCACTTGGTAGATAGACAGCAGGATCAGAAGTTTCAGGTCGGCCTGGTAACAGAGTGAGTTTGAGGCCAATAAGGAATATATGAGACAATGTTTCAAAAAAAAAACCCAAAAACGCAAAACATTTGTTTTTGGGCTGTATGTTTATGTGCAAGGTTCTAAGTTTATCTCCAACACTACATTAACAGCAAAAGAAAAAGAGCTGCTTTTTGCCTAACTGTGTTTTTCTAAATGATTTACTAATATATCGTAATTTAATTTTTCAAGGTATCCAGTAGAGTGGAGAAGGATTACAATGATCTTTTTGATGGAGATGATACAAATAGTGCTGGCGATTTTCTAAATGACAATGCAGTTGAGATCCCTTCTTTTTCCAAAGGAATTATAAACGAGGATGATGATAATGATGACGTCATGCTGGCTGCAGATCACGTCTTGGGAGATGATGAAAACTCAGTTGGTATGACTTTGACTTTGTGCATATGATAGTCCCCTTGCTGATTAGTTTTCCAGATGTTATTAAAAACTCCTAGATGGCTTAATTAGTGTCTAGAGCTACGTTTTAAACCCTATGTTAAAATTTCAAATCAACAGTCTAAGCCTCTTTAACAAACTATAAAAGAATCTATATCCCAAACAAAAGGAAGTAATAGAGATTAGCTCAATTAAATTGACAGTGGAAAAGTTAGAAAGAGGGCTAGGATAGAGGTTCTTATGCCCAGCCTCATAACCTGTATTTGATTCCCAGATCCCACAAGGTAGTAAGAGAGAACTCACTTCCTGGGTTATCCTCTGACCCCCTCACATGTGCCATATGATGTGCACATCTGCACTCCGAGACGCACAAAACTAAATTAAAAAAAAAAAAAAAAAAAAAAAAAAACGGGGCCAGTAAGATGGCTTGTCAGGTAAAAGTGTCTGCGTTAAATCTGACAACTCAAGTTCAGTCTCAGAGACCCACAGGTACACAACAGACACTTACCATCCAGGCCATCTCCACAGCCCCACGTCTTTAAGGAAATTGTGATTTGTGTGTGTGCATGCAACAGCATACATGGAATTAGTTTTCTCTCTCCAGCTTTACATGGATTCAGAGGATCAAACTCAGGTTACCAGGTTGGCAAAGCAAGCAGCTTTAATTGCTGAGTCTCCTCACTGGTCCACCCAGAATAAAGCCTGGTCTCGTTGCCTACATTAATGTAAGGCACCATCTGTTCTGCCTCTCAGACTTCTGCATCATCACTATATTTCTTGAGCATGGAGGCCACAGTGGAAGAGGCTAGCAGTGTGCCAACTATTGCTAAGTTCATGGAGGAACTTCACTATAATACTCCATAATACTTTTCTTTTTTCTAGGTTGTTAATTGTATAATTGTCTTATAATTCTTTGTATTGTAGATGTTACAATGCTAAAAACTGATCTTCACAGAGAGGAAGGGGACAGTGATCAGGCAAGCAGTATGCACAATCTCCCCCTTATAAAACCCCAAAGGCCGTTTTATGATGGGCCCATGCCAACACCACGACAAAAGCCATTCCAGTCAAGTTCTACACCCTTGCATCTCTCTCACAGATTC